ATTTGAATGTGTTCTACAATTGCTTCATTGGTTGCTAGGACAAAGGTCGCCAGCGTTCTAGTAACCAAAGACACAGTCACACACAACTGACAGCGGGCAGAGCTTGTTGGGGAACTCTGGTAGACTAGTTCTTCATCAGGTCCGCCTTGCCTGTGATTGACAGCGGAGGGCAGTGGGTGGATTTTATAGCTGCTATTCAGTCCGCTAGCAGCTTTGGAATCTGCCCACTGCCATCCACTGTCAATCGCAGGCAAACTGGACCTGGTGGGGAACTAGCCTACCAGAGTCCCCCCAACAGGCTCTGCCCGCTGTCAGTTGTGTGTGACTGTGTCTTTGGTTACTAGAACGCTGGCGACCTTTGTCCTAGCAACCAATGAAGCAAATGTAGAACACATTCAAATATATTAATGTATTGAACACACAATCCCTCATCTACTCCATATGCAAACTTTGAGCTGGTCCTAATCCACCCACCGGAAAACTCAAAGTCATTGTTGCTGTGCCTGTTGAACATCCGTTCCTCCATGCACAAGCACCCTCACACTTAAAGGCCTGTCTACCCAACAGGCTCAACTACCATGAATTTGAGATGTGGGGGGGGGGGGGGGGGATGCCTTATGAGGAATTCTGAAACCAATTTCCCCATCAGGTCCACCTTGCCTGCGATTGACAGTAGATAGCAGTGGGCTCCTAGACTGAATAGCATCCACTGCCCTGTCAATCACAGGCAAGGCAAACCTGATGTGGAAATAGTCTCAGAGTACCCCATCAGGCTCTGCCCGCTCAACAGGCGCAGCAACAATGACTTTGAGTTTTCCGGTGGGCGGATTAGGACCAGCTCAAAGTTTGTATATGGGGTAGATGAGGTATTGTGTGTTCAGTACATTAATATATTTGAATGTGTTCTACATTTGCTTCATTGGTTGCTAGGAGGAAGGTCGCCAGCGTTCTAGTAACCAAAGACACAGTCACAACTGACAGCGGGCAGAGCCTGTTGGGGAACTCTGGTAGACTAGTTCCCCATCAGGTCCAGCTTGCCTGCGATTGACTGTGGATGGAAGTGGGCAGATTCCAAAGCTGCTAGTGGACTGAATAGCAGCTATAAAATCCACCCACTGCTCTCCGCTGTCAATCACAGGCAAGGCGGACCTGGTGAAGAACTAGTCTACCAGAGTTCCCCAACAAGCTCTGCCCGCTGTCAGTTGTGTGTGACTGTGTCTTTGGTTACTAGAACGCTGGCGACCTTCGTCCTAGCAACCAATGAAGCAAATGTAGAACGCATTCAAATATATTAATGTACTGTACACAGAATCCCTCATCTACCCCATATGCAAACTTGGAGCTGGTCCTAATCTGCCCACCAGAAAACTCGAACTCATTGTTGCTGCGCCTGTTGAATGGTCAGAGCCTGATGGGGAACTCTGAGAGTATTTCCACATCAGGTCTGCCTTGCTTGTGATTGACAGCGGAGGGCAGTGGATGCTATGCAGTTCAGGAGCAGCTTAGGAATCTGCCCACTGCCATTTACTGTCAATTGCAGGCAAGGTGGACTTGATGGGGAAATTGGTTTTAGAATTCCTCATAAGGCGCCTCCCCACCCTACAGCGCAAATTCATGGGCGTTGGGCCTTTTGGGTGGACAGGCCTTTAAGTGTGAGGGTGCTTGAGCATGGAGGAACGGATGTGCAGCATGGACACCCCAACCTCACTATTGGCATCAACAGATTCATGAATCGGTCTATGGTACAAAAAACAACAGCTTCGGTGAGGCACATGCACATTGTGTAAAAGTGCAGTTACGCAAATGGCATGGTTGCTGGTTGTCTGGTGTCTTTGTAGATATCCTGACCCTTCGCCCAACTTTCATGTTGGTCTTTGTTGATATGAATTTGGTGGCTTTCTGAAATTGCTAAACCTGCTTGTTTCCAACCGATATTAGCCTGCTGCCAGACATTCCATTTTCCAGCAGCAATTTCCTTATATTGTAGTCTATGCATCATCTCAAGCTGGTGCCATGACAGTGTGTCCGCAAGAGCGGATTGACCATTTGGAAACTCGGGCACTGCCCGAGGGCCTGGAGTCAGTAGGGGGCCCCATGAGATGCCCCTGGTACCTTTTTCATAGGCTTTTTTGAGTTTGGGCAAGGACACAGGGGCCCCATGATCCCCTATTGCCCAGGGGCCCCATGAGATGTCAGTCCGCCCCTGGTGCACAGTCTGTACAAACCCTGGATCTCAATCCATCCTTGTGTAAAATGGAACAGAAACCTTGTAGAATTAGTCTCTATTTATACCTGAGGGTATGAAGCAATTTCCAGAAGCATGGCAGTGCACAAGATGAAAAATGCCATTAATAGAAATGGGCTTGTCCACACCTGAGGGTTTTGTTGCTTGTTGCATGCAGCTCGAAACTTGAAAAATGTACATTCCCTTCTTTGAAGAAGAATCACATGTGTAATGGAATATAAAAAATGTTTTCAGGAGCTCCCATTTAAAAACTCACAATTCTGTCCTGTACAGCAAGTCACGTGTACAAATTTGCAATTAAAACCAAAAGAAGCTTCTTAATTGCCATGCTATGCTCATGCTAAGCATGAGTGGGGGTGGGGGGGGGGGGGGGCGACAGCTAAAAGTGTGACCATCAAACTGCTACAAATAGAAAAAGTGCTCCTGCCCTTATAGATATTTTCCACTCAACAACACAAACTAGACCTGATTGCAGCAGTCTTCTAATTTGTGTAAAATTGTCACAAAAAAAATTAAATTAAAAAAACAGATGAACCGCGCATGGTCATAAACGTGCATGTGTCAGTCACATCATAAACCAGTCCCATAATTAGTGTAAAAGAAAGTGCTTGTGTTCATTTTGTATTCAGTATCCTGATTGGTGCTCAACAAAAGTGCCGCACATGGACTGACACTTACCCTCATTCCATGACCATCTATCTCTAGAGTGGTCATTAACGCTTTGTGGGACAATCCCACTAAGCCAATGGACCCAGATCCTTTAGCCTTTGATCATCTATCCTTAAGGCGGTCCGTGACACATACAGTTGTGCTCAAACATTTGCATCCCCTGGCAGAAATTGTGAAATTTTGGCATTGATATTGAAAATATGACTGATCATGCCAAAATGCTCTTTTATTGAAGGATGATGATCATATGAAGCCATTTATTATCACATAGTTGTTTGGCTCCTTTTTAAATCATAATGATAACAGAAATCACCCAAATGGCCCGGATCAGAAGCCTCCGCCCCCCCGGATCAGAAGTTTCCCTCCCCTGGAATATTTGGCCTTGGTACAGACACACGAGGTGACACGCACGGGTTACAGTGCCAATTTAGGGTTCATGTCCCACATCTGTGGCTTTTTAAATTGCAATTAGTGTCAGTGTATAGTCAATGAGTTTGTTAGCTCTTACGTGAAAGCACTGACTAGGCTAACTGGGATATTCAAGGCTTTGGACATCTTTTTATATCCTTTTCCATCTTTATAAAGTTCCATTACCTTGTTACGCAGGACTTTTGACAGTTCTTTTCTGATCCCCATGGCTCAGTATCTAGCGTAGCCAATGCTTCCACATAAGAGCTAACAAACTCATTGACTATTTATACAATTACACTAATTGCAATTTAAAAAGCCACAGATATGGGACATGAACCTCTAATGGGCATTTTAACCCGTGTGTCACCTTGTGTGTCTGTACCAAGGCCAAACATTCCAGGGGAGGGAAACTTTTGATCCTGGCCATTTGGGTGATTTCTGTTATTATGATTTAAAAAGGAGCCAAACAACTATTTGATAATAAATGGCTTCATATGATCATCATCCTTCAATAAAAGAGCATTTTTTGGCATGCTCAGTCATATTTTCAATATCAATGCCAAAATTTCACAATTTTTGCCGGGGTATGCAAACTTTTGAGCACAACTGTAAAGAACAATTTCCAAAAACTCCCGCTGTCTCCACAGCTTTGCAAGCAGCAAAGAAATGTGTCACCATGCATGAAGAAAAAGAAGATCTACCCAAAGGTAGCAGTGTCCAACTTCAGATGTCTGTCCGTTCCCAGCACACGGGCAACCCATAGACACGTCTCCTTCACCACTTTACCACTGGGAATGTAGGAGTAGAGAGGAGATGTGTCTGTGGCTTCAAAGTCATCTGTGAATGAGAGACTACAAGTCCTGACTGCCTTAGCAGCTGCCAGCTTGTAGTCCTCAATGAACTACCTGGGTCCTGTGAAGCGTTGTGGTAGTTCATTCATTCTTCCTGTCGGTATATCTGCCTGCTCCTACATCCCGTACGAGAAAGCAGATATTCCGACAGATTTGCAGGAGACAATCTGCTGATTGCTGGTGCAGTGTTTTACAGGCTCCTGCAGACAAAAATACATGCACATTTTTTTTTTTACCTGCAAAAAAAGTGCGTTTATTACTAAAATGTGAACTTATGCTTTAACCACATCCTTACCGCACGATAACCGAATGATGGCTACAGTGTGGTGGTCCAGTTCTGGGAGGATATAAAGTAACTGTAAATAGTGAAGCGCTATAAATCCTATCTATTAAATACAGATAAATATTACATATTACTAGCTGTGCACACACAATAGTGCTCAGTGACAAATAATTACAAACAAATATCTCTTTCCACAAGTATAAGTGAAACATGACCTTGAATATGTGACAAACTACAGATAATAGTGATTCTTTAAGAAGAAAAAATTCCCGTGCTATTTATCAATATCTCTAAGAACACACTGTGTATATACAAACGTCAAACCAATCAAATTATATATGTGTTAACTGAAAACATAAAGTCCATGCAAGTGAATCTGTGCTGATGTGATCTTCACTCCAGTGAAAAATGAACAGAAATCCTCAAATGCAGCAATGCCTGCTCACCTCCACACATTGACCCCCACAGGGCTATAATAAACAGTAACAGATCCTCTCCACTCCACATCACAGGGACCTTGGGATAGGAAAAAGACCTCTGCTCAGCGCACCTTATTCACTCCTCCAAGTTGTTTCCGAGATTTCGTTTTTAGATGGATTTCTTCTGCATCATCTAACACCAAGTTCATATATTCATTAAATCCAATGATGCAACCTTCTATGCGCATGCTCACTTGTTCATAAAGCCGCACTTGGATTGGGGATCTATTCTGAAGATATCTGAAGATCAGATTACCGAAACAATATTGACACACAAAAAAGATACGATGTTCGTATCTTTTTTGTGTGTCAATGTTGTTTCGGTAATCTGATCTTCAGATATCTTCAGAATACATCCCAAATCGGGAACCCCTCATAATGTTTCCTGATGGCGATAGCACCTGTGTCATTCTCTAAAGACGCCGCTCTCAGCCCTGGGGTTCCGGCAGAGGGTGTAGGGGTTCCTTGAGCTGTGGCTGATTGAACTCCTATTTTATGGCGCATACATCCTCCCAGGAGCCAGCACCATTGGCAAAGCTAGCTGCAAGGCAATCTGGCAATCAATGTTTTAGCTCTTTGTAAGAATGTCATTCTTCCTACTGGCCACCACTTTAAGAACCATTCTTATGAGGTGGCATCAAAACGTTTTGAGCCTAGTTTTGTAACATGCCAACAGATGGCAGCACAAGGTCAGTGTGCCGAAAGACCTCTCCCTGTGTACATCGGGAGCTGTGCAACTGGTGCTATTCTGACCACGTGCGTTACCACGTCATCATGGACAACAAGTTAGAACAAAGATGTGAAATTCTGCATGAAACTAGGCAGATCTGCCACAAAGACGCTTGAAATGATTCAACAAATTTATGGCGATGCTGCAATGAGTTGTTGGAGGTGTTTTGAGTGGCACACACGCTTCAAGAGTGAAAGAACATCACAGGAAGACGACGAGAGATCAGGAAGACCTTCAACAAGCTCAACCCCCGAAAATGTCAAAACCATTTGTTCTCCAACAATCATCACGCACAGGTTGCCAATCCACAACATTGTTGCTTTTGTTGCCGTGTCATACGGAACAGTCCAGGCAGCCTCACGTGTGATTTGAACATGGGCCTTGTTTCTGGGTCCTGTTCTCCCTGCACCCTGGGGAAGTGGAGACAGTACCCTGCTTGAGAAATACTGGGCTAAATGATCAATCCAGCTGGTGTGAATGAGTGGGGATGCTTCGTTAACCTCCCTGGCGGTATGATTCTTTCTGATTTTTTTGTGCTGAAAGCTGTACCGTTTTTTTGCATGGAAATATATAGTTTTTTATTGTAGGCCTGTAATTTTTAGGAATAACTCACTGAAATCTGTCCGAACAAGAGTCTAGTAAACATGCCGGGTATGATAAAACTTGTAACACGAAATCATAAATTATAATTTAATAATCATAAAAAAATAATAATATAATAATAAATTTAATTCAATAATATAATCAAACCAAAAACACTGAAATTTGAAATACAGAGGCAAATTCGCACATCGCTGAGCAAAGTCGCAAAATCGTTTTCAGTGTCTGATGACTAATTTCCTCCACGAATCATTATCACTCAATTCTGCAAGTGGTTCTGATTTACTATCGCTGTTCTAAAACCGCTTTTGACGTAAAGGGACACTTTTTGGACGCCATGGACTTTTCTAAGTTTCCAGGCAGAAAGAACAGTAAAAATGCAGGCAGGGCACAGGACAAAGCACTCTGGACAAAATATATGTGAAATGCATTGAAACAGCAATGACAGCAAAAATTAAATTTTTTAAAAATTTCAAATTTCCCGCCGGTTCCGGTGCCCGTACGCCCCGACGTCACAGGGACCGGAACACGGAAGCCGGATGCCAGGCATCGGCCGGAGGAGATGGCCGGGGACGCTGCAGGGGACACATTGCGGGAGCGAAGGACAAGGTAAGTGCTGCAGGGACCCCCTGAGCAACGCCGCATGGTAAGCCCGAGTGTAGCTCGGGGTTACCGCTCTTGGTACTGACATTTTACCCCGAGCTACACTCGGGAATACCGCTAAGGAGCTTAAGTGGCTCCATTTCAATCTGTTAAATATCCCATTAAAGGTGTTCTATACAGTTAGGTCCATATATATTTGGACAATATCAGGCATAATTTTAGTTTTTTTTCAGGTATTTACCAAAACATATTCAAGCTATAGTTCTATAATGGATATGGGCTGAAAGTGCACACTCTCAGGTGTAATTTGAGGGTATGTACATCCAAATTGGAGGATGGGTTTAGGAATTACAGCTCTTAAGAGTAGCCACTCCCCTTTTTCAAGGCACCAAATGTAGAGGTGACTGAGGGAAGGTATTAGATGTTGCACCCATATTGGTGTGACTGAGGGAAGACATTTTGGGTTGCCCCTATATAGCGGTGACTGAGGGAAGGTATTAGATGTTGCCCCTATAATGGGGTGACTGAGGGAAGGTATTAGATGTTGCACCCATGGTGTGACTGAGGGAAGCCATTTTGATGTTGCCCCTATATAGAGGTGACTGAGGGAAGGTATTAGATGTTGCCCCTATAATGGGGTGACTGAGGGAAGGTATTAGATGTTGCCCCTATAATGGGGTGACTGAGGGAAGGTATTAGATGTTGCCCCTATAATGGGGTGACTGAGGGAAGGTATTAGATGTTGCACTCATATTGGGGTGACTGAGGGAAGCCATTTTGGGTTGCCCCTATGTAGAGGTGACTGAGGGAAGGTATTAGATGTTTGCACCCATATTGGGGTGACTGAGGGAAGCCATTTTGGGTTGCCCCTATATAGAGGTGACTGAGGAAAGGTATTAGATGTTGCCTCTATAATGGGGTGACTGAGGGAAGGTATTAGATGTTGCACCCATAGTGGGGTGACTGAGGGAAGACATTTGGGGTTGCCCCTATATAGAGGTGACTGAGGGAAGGTATTAGATGTTGCCCCTATAATGGGGTGACTGAGGGAAGGTATTAGATGTTGCCCCTATAATGGGGTGACTGAGGGAAGGTATTAGATGTTGCCCCTATAATGGGGTGACTGAGGGAAGGTATTAGATGTTGCACCCATACTGAGGGAAGACATTTGGGGTTGCCCCTATATAGAGGTGACTGAGGGAAGGTATTGTAGGTTGCACCCTAGTGGGGTAACTGAGGGAAGACATTTTGGGTTGCCCCTATATAGAGATGACTGAGGGAAGGTAGTAGATGCTGCACCCATAGTGGGGTGACTGAGGGAAGATATTTTGGGTTGCCCCTATACAGAGGTGACTGAGGGAAGATATTTTGGGTTGCCCCCATACAGAGGTGACTGAGGGAAGGTATTGCAGGTTGCACCCATATTTGGGTGACTGAGGGAAGGTATTGTAGGTTGCACCCCAGGCTGTATTGGCACACACACATATCAGGGTGGGGGGTTATTTGGGGTCACAGTGCGGAGGATCTGCAGCACGGAGTACTAGTCCGGACCCATGTCCGTCCTCCCCGGTGTACACTGTAGGGGGCGGGGTGGAGCGGGAAGAGCGCTGACATTGGTTCAAACACCATGATCCCGCCCCCAATAACTGTCACTCCCGACATCCTCTACAACCCGCGGACTCCCGGCCGCTGATTGGCTATGGGGGTGGAAGCGGAAGGACAGTCCTCTGGTTGCCAGGAGAACGGGGAGAAGCTTCCGTGTGTTGGCGGCGGGCAGAGAGGGATGAGAGCGGAGCGGAGAGGATGAAGAGCCGGGGAGAGAAGAGCGGGAAGGCGGGGAGCCGGAGGAGGAGAGGTACCAGTGTGAAGGAAGATCCCCCATCTCCCCACCACACTAATCACACTTCCCTGTCTGTCAGACATACCAGCAACACTGACTTCACTGGCTGCATGCTGGTTCCCTTGAGCCCCTCTCCCTGGACCTTCTTCATCACAGCCCTCCTGTACTGCCAGGTATGTGATGGACTCATGTGACCTCAGATCAGAGCAACCAATCACCTGGCCCAGATCCGGTCACATGATCTCAGAGCTTACACCTGGGGCACACGGTGGCTGTGATGGGGGAGGGGACGGTGTCAGTGATGGGGCAGCCAAGAGACCTATCACCGCCTGGTATGGACACAACAACAGAGCCGCTTCAACCCCTTTATGATCGCCAAACTCCTATGTGCAGCGGGAAAAGTGAGGCCACCGATCCTAACACCCCCCCACCCCGGGGTTCAGATCTGTAGAAAGGGTCATGTGGGCGGGAAAGCGGATAAAACACAAATGTCCCCAATATAAATGTTCTTTTTATTTACCTTAACCCCTGGTCATGTGACTGCGCAGCCCTGAGGCTTCTCTGTGTGATGGATGCCTCCTATTGGATGTCCAGAGTAGGAGGAGGTCCTCTCACGACCTCGGGGTGATTGTGGATGTACACTCACTGGACGCTTTATTAGGTCCACCTGTCCAATTGCTCGGTAACACAAACTGCTAATCAGCCAATCACATGGCAGCAACTCAATGTATTTAGGTATCTAGATGTGGTGAAGACGACTTGATGAAGTTCAAGCTGAGCATCAGAATGGGGATGAAAGGGGATTTAAGTGACTTTGAATGTGGCATGGTTGATGGTGCCAGACGGGCTGGTCTGAGTACTTCACAAGCTTCTGATCTACTGGGAGTTTCACTCACAAGCATCTCTAGGGTTACAGAGAATGGTCCGAAAAGGAGAAAATATCCAGTGAGTGGCAGTTGCATGGAGGAAAATGCCTTGTTCATGTCAGAGGACAATGGGCAGACTGGAGATGATGATAGAAAGGCAACAGTAACTCCAATAACCCCTCGTTACACCCAAGGTATGCAGAATACCATCTCTGAATGCACAACATGTCCAACCTTGAAGCAGATGGGCTACAGCAGCAGAAGACCACACAGGGCGCCACTCCTGTCAGCTGAGAACAGGAAACGGAGGCTACAAATCACACAGGATCACCAACATTGGACAATAGAAGATTGGAAGAACGTTGTCTGGTCTGATTAGTCTGGATTTCAGCTGTGACATTGTGGTGGGGATGTCATGGTGTGGTGGATCCATCCTGCCTTGTATCAATGGTTCAGGCTGGTGGTGGGGATGTCATGGTGTGGTGGATCCATCCTGCCTTGTATCAATGGTTCAGGCTGGTGGTAGTGATGTCATGGTGTGGTGGATCC